TTTCATTTTCTTTTCATTTTTTGGTGGGTTGACCATTGACTTTTTCGAGATATTCTCACCCAAAGAAGACGACCCCTATTTTCCCCAAAGCGGAAAAGTAGCCATCTTGAAAAACAATCCCTCCACAACATGGCAAAATACCGCTACTTTCGAGCCCAGTAGCATCCAAAATGCTCAGAATTGGAAGCCCCAAGTCCGGGCCAGAGGTTCATCACCATATCTCTTCAATTCCCCAATTTGATGGGTCTCAAAACTCTCTAATAAGGGTATAACTTTTATTCATGAGCTCGGCGGACGAATTGTTGGCCTATTTACAGGCGTGCACCCATAAGCACTATCCTCCAAGATGGCCGCTACGCACAGGGTCTTTGCAACCAATATCGCCTGTGTGTGCTGCCCTCTATTGAAAACGCAGAGTCCAGGATGAGATAGTTATAAGGTGTTTATTTTCATGGAGTATGTAAAGAGCTTACTGTATGTTGTCCATTGCGGGCAGTTTTTGATCACGGCTTCAGTCTTCAAAGATGTCATGGCAAAAACGGCAAGGAAAACGATGACGGACTTCATCTGAGTGTAAAAATGTTATGCAGAATGGTGCATTAATGACAAGAGCAGGGACGGCGGAATGCTTTTCAAACCGGGGGACACACCAAAAAGGGGCACTTATCCAGAAAAAGGGGCACCTTCCGTCGGTGTGAAAGTAAGAGCCCTACGGCCTCCCCAATGGCGGATTCAGAACACTTTTTTTTGGGGGGGGCAAACAATTGTGGTTCCGAAAAAAGTGGGTCCACAAATTCACGGCGAAGGGTTCGGGGCCCGCTTAAGGACTCCGAAAAAAAATGGATTCTAGACGCTCTGTGGTGCGATGTGAGGCAATTTCTGACCATTTTAACCAATTTCTTCTGAGGAAAAGATGGTGGTGTATGTAGTGGTTGCCTTTTTGTGACGTCACATTGCGAGCTCACGGTACATCGCGCGGTGTCACCATCTTTATGTTCGTGTTGCGTTTTGTCGTTGTCATCCTCTTTACCCCCAAATTTTCCTCAAAACTTCAAAACCCTGCCCTTTATCTATGACATACCTGTATTTTCTTAAATGTCGCCAACTAGTCCGGTAGGTCAAATAATTTAAAAGTGGACGTTGTTCCCTTATAGGAACCGGGCCCGTGGATACACGATCGCCATTCGACACTTTTCGGCCAATAGCCGAAAAATGTGTCCCCTCCGCTACTGCCTCTGAGTATTTCCCCCCAACGACTACTACCCCTACCTTTGTCGTGCTTTTATGTCCTCGGCATCAAATCTAAGATCACAATTGCAGGTGATGGTGGTCGGCTGTTTCTCTGTCCGAGACGTGCGCAGGACTGATGGCTGGCTTGCATGAACAGTGGAATATAAAGGTAGCTAGCATTGTGAGGAGAAGCCCACTACTCGCCTTATACAAAATTTAGACTCAGTGGCTGCATCGAAAGCAAGGTCTCAAGGTCCAACCGGCGATTAAGCGGCTTGCGCTACAACAGTGCCACCTGCTTTAATATTGTCGTCGTAAGTCAAACGCCTTATAAGTCCAAAAGTTCGGAATTAAGAGGCGTCGGATAAGCCTTTTCGGAGTTCCAACTGCGCATTCATAACCAGTGACAACGCGCATTGCTTGTCTCAAGTGGCCTTTGACATCATCGCGCCACTGACTTTACAAAAAGGCTGTTTGTGCATTGTGGGTACTATCAAAGGGCATTTGAGACAAATAATGTGCGTTGTCACAGGTTACGAATGCGCGCAGTTGGAACTCCGAAAAGGCTTATTTATGAAGCGTTGGATGTATGGTGTTCGGCTTCATAGCAAATTGTTGGAAATTGGTACAACCTTAAAAGCCGAAATAAATTACAATTCGATTCAATCATGTAAATCGAGCAGTGAAACGTTCACTGAACTGAGGACCTTTCGAGAAAAGTTAATATAACAGAAAAAAGACAGTTGTAAACACTTTAGACAATTCTAAACACTTTCTTGCTATCTCCTCATGCTAAAAATGTTAAGCACGTGAACATGTTTACAAACTGATAGCAAGAAAGTGTTTCGAATTGTGTTTCAAATTGCACGTTCCATTACATGGAAGCCCTGTGAATCGGAGTGCCGTGGCCTCGTGGTCTGGAGAATTGAATTCGTGGTCTGCCGGTAGTTCAGCAGTCTGTGCGTTCGAGACCAGCCTGCGGCTATGGTGTCTGTGCCCTTAAAAATGTATTGGGAACGTTTCATTCGCCCAATTGGCAGGGTAATAATGATGTAGCGCCTTGAGCACCAATAATGGCTGATGCGTGGGCTTTACAAATACCCATTATTATGACCCCTTTTAATTTGTCTGGGTTTGATTTCCAACCGACCTTATTTTGGACTCCCGACTCGGGAATATTTGTTAACGTCGACCCATGCTCGGATCCAGGGAGGCCGGGGTCCAACTTCCTTGAAATTCCTTGAAAATGATGCAACCCCCCCCCCACCCCCACCCCCCCTCCCCCCTCGCTGTGACACCCCAAACATTAATACTTGTAAGAATATCAGCCTGTGCACAAAATACGGACAGATCCAGCTTGGTTAGGAGGTATTTGTACACTTTTCTGTAACACAGTGTTAATAATCGTCCGATATGAACAGCGCCCCCATTGAAAGTATCTAACGAGCTCCCACCCCCCCCCCCCCCACCGACTCCTTACCCCCCCCCCCCCCCAACACACCTATTGATTTTCGGAGGCCAATTGTCCGGAGATAAAAACCCAGTACGTTTCAGCCCCTGCAACCTTGTTTTTTACTAACCGCCCCCCCCAAAAAAAAAAAAACAAAAACAACAACAACAACAAAGAAGCGAACAAATTCAGGCAATCAGGATCTTATCTGGAAAAGCTGTGGTAAATAATAGAAGATTACCAGTGTTCTTCAAAAATATATATACATATTTATTTTGTTTCCGAACAATTCGCATAATTATTTTGTTTTAGCGCAAAATCTAATTTAATCTTATCTTTGCATCTGCAACCAGGCCTCTGATAAGTGCTTTCATTATGTTGCGCAGGGAGAAACCCACCTTGCGATAGCCGCATTGTTGTCTGGCAGCCGATAATTCTAATTTGCGAGGAAATAACTCAATACCTAAACGGAGGTGGCATTTTCCGTTCGATGTCTCATTCAAAAATGAATAGCTTTTATATCCCTATATCAAAATAGCAATTTCAAACTAGATCTCTGTCTGTTCGATGACCAAAACATAGGGCTTTTTCGCAATATGTTTTTTTTATGAGTTTAGGTTTGTTTTTCGCCATTATGCAGTTAGGAAATTTTTTATGCAGGAATGTAGTTATATGACTTATTGAAAAGCTGTTCATGTAATCTTCCCGATACCGTTCCTCAAATATGTGACTTAAAGATGACGTCTCATGATCCATGATGACGTCATCATTACGTCACCTTACTTTATGTCTGTTACCCGTCCTTGTCTGTGAACATACCAAGTGTTCCAATCAAGTCGGACTTACAATCCTCTAAATATAAAATAATTATTTAAACATACACTTAAAAATGACGTCACCAGTCCATTGATGAGACGTCATTATGACATCACTTGTCTGGAGTCAACTTAACCTTGGGGTCTTTGTCTGTGCCTAGTTTAAAATCAATCTGATTGTATTCAATGTTCTAGAAGTAGTAGAACAAAATATATAATGTAAAAAATTATATATTTCAATTCAGTCGGAATATAGTTCTGTAGATAATGTCTTCAAATGAGATACCCACATCTTGCAGTTCCAGAGAGCAACTTGGTCGGTTTGGTATAGGCGAAATATTAAGTTGCTTTTCAGTTGTCGACGGTCGAAATAATGGAAAGCGGTTGAATACACGGCTTTGATAAGATTGAAGCGGCCTTGAACAGGGGGTCTACCCGATGCTCCCCAACACCGATGTTCCCCAAATACCGATGTTCCCCGAAATCCTTAGGATTAGGGTTAGGGCTAGGGCTAGGGTTATTGGTTAAGGATTTCGGGGAACATCGGTATTGGGGAACATAGGTATTGGGGAACATAGGTATGCACCCCTTGAACAGTGGCGTCACTTTAAAACCAAAGTCACGGTGGATCAAACGTTTCGATGAAGTGTCATCTATACTTGTAAAACTAACAACGTGTCCACTTCTGGGCCATCACACAACTGACTTGCATGTCATTTTATCCTCGTTGCTGCATTGTGGAATGTGACTGCAAACTTATAAAAGAAACAATGGATGATATAATACCCTGGCGTGAGGTAAATTAGGGATCAAATTCTTTAGGACAGATGGTGTGTTCTTTTATAGGCGGTATATTATGAACTTCTCAACAAAGCTGTTGCCCAGTGGCCTGTGCAGGATTGTTTCCAAGGGGAACATGCAGACTTTGGTGCATGGCCGGGGGGTGAAATTTCTTTTCCCAAACGAGAGCGGACAATATCGAAAGAGGGCGCTCTCTCTCTCTCTTTGCTTTTAGAGAATAAGTTATATAACAAGGAATAAAAGTGTTTAAATCACCGACGATTGGCAGCTGATTCGTGGACTGGTTGGAAGTAGTCATGACTTCAGGTGATCCGAGTTCGAATCTCAGTGAGCGTTTTTCACTTCTTCTCGTTTTACCTTTTAAATAAGTAAACTGATGAAGAAACATTTCTCACAAGACGTAAAGCCTATCTTTGGTTTGTGTTGTGGAGAACAAGGCATTAGATATGCTGTAATGGACCAATCAGAAGATGGGAAGCGGATGTCGTTGGGGAAAAGATTCGCGGCCGGGGGCGGGCTTGACATTATCTGGCTATTGGATGAGGATGTCTGACAGGACGATCGTGGACACTTTTGAATAGGCTTCACTTTACAGACCGATATTTGGATCCGGGAGAACCCTGGCTAAGCCGCTGAGAAATCTAGGCAAGGTTGGGGATGTCATGATTCAGGTTACATTCTCATAAACACATCGACTATTAACGTTCTTTGCTAATGTAATCGAATTCTTTTAATTACCTCTTTCCCTTTTAACCTTATGACATCAAAACGTCAATTTAACGGAAGCCATCTTAAAGGAGATGCTTTCCCCCCTTTTTCAACCGCGTAATAGAACAATTACAACTAAGCTAAGATTGGTGATGTATGATATGAAAAGACAGTGGCTTCGACGTCTTGCGATTTGAAGGAAAAAACAGATGCTGATCTTTTGGGAAGCCAACACCGCAATCTCAGTCAAGCACAAAACTTACATAAAGCAAACTCCTTTGGAATTAAACACCGGAATATTCACCGTCAAAGTTTGAGTAAAATATATCCAGTTCAGGGGTCTACACTTGTAACACAAAATAATGCGAATCCCTATTCGTCGTATTTTATTACAATAACTACACCAAAGTAAAAAAAAAATGCTATCAAAAAGATTTTTTTTTTAAACCCGCAAATGTTAAGTAAACAAACTGTTAAATATTCAGTTAAAATACCCTTCACCGTTTTTTAATGTTTAATTCAATTTGACTTCGCGATCATGATCCGTCTCCGATGAAGATTGGAAGTTGCAACTATACTGTTACCATGGCAACAGATAATTTACTTCCAGGATTTACAGCAGTAGACCTCATCCCACGAATTAGGTCTTGGGGTGTTGGGAAAGTAAGGCTCGGGGGCACCGTTGTTGTAGCATTCGGCGCCTTTGTAATCGCCGCATGGCGACATTCTAGCATCCCTGTCGTGACCATTGGTCAGACCCCAGTGGTTGTCTCTGGCGCCCAACTCGTACAGCGCCGCCAGCTCCTTCAGAGTGCACAGATGGGAACCAACCATATCTTGATAGCAGTATTTCATGCCCATATCCCAACTGTAGGTTTTCGACGACAGGCATACCGAGTACATAGTCTCACCTGAAAAGGACAAATTAATAAAAAAGGTTTCTCTATTATTATTTTTTTTTACAAACAATCTCATTATAGAATTCGGGCGATTCACAATGCAGTGCGCCACCAAGAGTTTGCTAAGGAGAGTTCATTTTTCCCAGTGCATTGTGGGAGATGGCCGACAAATTTTCAGCGCGGGACATTTGAAATTGTCAGTTTTTTCCGGTCAGTAGTTTCGTAAGCGTATGACTCAAGTATATGTTTGCCCTTATCTTTTTCTGTTATTAATATGGTGTTTTTGAAAGCCGGCAGAATGCTATTTCTGACACTCGTTCAAGTGAGCCATGTTTGTGACCGTAGACTTGAAAAATGTACTCTACACGGCAAACTCTTGGTGGCGCACTGCATTGGTAATCGTCCGAATTACGACTATAACCATGTATCTCTTAGCTTAAAAGACAGCTTGCTGTTTCAAAACAGTACACACATTTACCATAAAATACACGACATCGGTAATGTTGATAAGTGTAACCCACATGCTATACCAACCACACATGGGCGTCGCGAGGGGGGGGGCGAGGGGGGCACTTGTCCCCCCCCCCCCCCCGGGAAAGCAACAAAAAAAAAAAAAAAAAAAAAAAAAGGAAGAAAAAAAAGAAAGAAAAAAAAAAGAAAAAGAGGCGCGAAGACAAAGTGGTGTAAATTTAATGAGTTGAGGGGGGGGCAAAATGTCCCTGCCCCCCTCTAAAACTGATAAATCGAGAATGTGTTGCGAAATACAAGCATTTTTTGGCAAAAAAATTGTGTGCCCCCCTCTAGAAAAAATCCTGGCGACGCCCATGCAACCACAGTGTGAAGGTTTTTTTAACAATCATTTGCACTAGGCCTATACTTTGGTCGATGGGGTCTGTATTATGTTCACTTATTTTTTTTTTGGAGACTGTGATTGGGGTCAAAAGAAAGGAGGATTCATCAACTCATACTGATATGCTTAGAGTTTGAGGTATTAACTAGGTGTTTTTTTACAGTGTCTGAAAATTGGACCACATGCGTTACAGCAGTCTTAGAATGTGTTGTTTCTTTGCTTTGAGTAAGTATTCATGCCCGACCATAAGCATTGCCCTCTAAGATGGCCGCTACACATAAGGTCTTTGCAACCAATCATAGTCTGTGTGTATGCTGCCCTCTATATGGACTCACAAGTCAGTTGGTAGGAAGGCGAGGTAGCTCAAGGAATAAGTATACAATAAGAGGCTTACTGAATGTTGTCCACTTTGGGCAAGTCTCTATCCCAGTCGTCAAAGATGTCAAGGCCAAAACGGCGACAAACAGGATGACTGACTTCATCTGAGTGTAAAAACAATAATGCAGAATCATGGTTCATTATTGAGGAGAGACTTACAATCCCGGCAATAATGGTTGGGACACTTGGAAATAACCTTAGCCTCCTACGGTCACCCACTCCCCCGCTCCCCGACTCTTCCGCAGCCCCCCCCCCCCCGGTCAATGTACGTTGTTCTCGCCAGCTGATGAAGCACACACCGCGCAATGAGAGACAACATTGACCGGGGCGGGGGGGGGGGGTGGCAGCGAGATTTGGCCAGGATTGTAGCTCACTTCTCACCAAAAATGTTGAAATGATATTAATAGAAGCTATTGGAGCGTAAGGAATGGATATCGTTTTGTAATGAGAAATCAGGATCTGCAGAGCACAACTTGAATTTACGGTGCACCCAAAAGAAGTGGCTGCTTAAAGAATTCCACGCAGTTATTTCGAGGTCATTTGCACAGGTTTCATCGGTTACACAGGTTTTATCATTAGAAAGCTTCCTCGAGTTTATTCCGTGGTTCGATATTGTTACAGATTGGAACATATTGTTATAGATTGGATAAGCAGTCTTTTTAACCTAAACGTATTTGCGCTCAGTGAATGTTCTTGAAAAATGTCAGATTTTCAGATTTCAGCTTTTTTTTTAAGTCTGATTGTTGCGAACAGGCGAACATATAATTACAGGTAATTATTATTACTATAATAAAATAAATGTTTTGTGTTTGTGAGTTTGTTTCTGCATTCAATAGGGGACGTTGAACAATTTAGGACAATAGGGTTCCCAGTTCCCGAGAGATCCCCAATTTGGATTCGCGCAAAGAAACATATGGGAGGTCATCCAAAAAAGTTAGTACATAAACAAAAGAGGGACAATAGGAGGGGGGGTGTCCCCGATTGCAGGCAAATACACACTTAATTGTATTTGAACATATCCCAAACCATGGCGGAAGGAATATACTTTCAGGCGCGGATCCGGGGGGAGAGAACTAATGATGTGCAAACTCGAACCGAAACCGAAACCGACCCAACCCGAAACCGACTTCGGGTCGGGTCGGGTCGGTTTGTCCATCTTTTCAGTCGGGTCGGGTCGGTTTCGGTTTTGCATTTTCATTTTCGGGTCTGGTCGGGTCGGTTTAGCCATCTTTTGAAAAAACCGAAATAAACCGAAAATAAACCGAAACGGTTGAGAAATTTAGGTGATGCAATATTAGGCCCCCCCCCCCAAAAAAAATAGTCGGTCTCTGGTCAGACCGAAGTTCCGGAATTGATGCGGCGACGCGGTTTTTTGGGGGGGGGGGGGGGTTTGGGTGGCTTTTTTTTTTCAAGCTTGTATTGTACAGACAAGGTGGGTACTATTTTGCTTTTTTGTAAGGCTAAGGCCAAAAAAAAAAGGTCGGTCTCTGGTCAGACCGAAGTTCCGGAATTGATGCGGCGATGCGGTTTTTTGGGGTTTTTTTGGCTTTTTTTTTTCAAGCTTGCATTGTACAGAGAAGGTGGGTACTATTTTGCTTTTTTGTGTCCTCATTATACATTGGTGTCCTCCATAATTTGCCTTGGTGCCCTTTATCATTTGCCTTGGTGCAATTTCCCCATTCCTTGGTGCTCCTTGGTACAAAAATTTGAGGAGGCGCGGCAATAGAGGGCGCTGTTGTAGCTTCCGTGTTCATTTGAAGAAGAAAAAAAGGTTGACGCGCATGATTAAAATCGACGCGCGCGCTGACCAGAGACCGAGTATTTTTTTTTTGGCCTTATTGACAGGCACTGTGACCGCAGCCCTAGTGTGGTGTGGCCACCGAGCGCACTATTAAGTTCCCACAGTATTAATTTCTCCAGTCAGATGGGACTGACAGTGAAATAGATACATTGTAACAGGTTTCATGATACCGCGTGATGATGCCACGCGTCTGTTCAATAAGCGGAGTTACTCTCGATCAACCCACTGAGTAATAGGGAGAGAGACGATGGTTTTGCAAAAGAATTCATGCCATGTGGGTAAGGGGCCGTTCACAATTATCAACATTTTCACGAGCGTACAAACCGTACGCTGGGGGGGGGGGGGAGGGGGTAATGGCCGCCGTACGCTTTTTTTTTTTAAATGTCGATATGTTTTTTCGCCCGTTAATGCCCGCCTAACGCTTTTTTTTTTTTTTTAAATGTCGATCTGTTTTCTCGCCCGTCGCCACAGCCGACAGCCGCAACCGATGCCGATCGAACACTTGCCGAGCCGGTCGCGCCCCGCGCCAGGCCCCGCATTGCATCCCATGAACGTATTGTGTACAGCATGCGCGGCATTGTCCTACACACGTACATGAAAATGTACTGTATGTACATGTACATGTATAGCCCCTGTCACACTTGTCCGAATCGTCACTCCGTTCATTTTCCGAGTAAAACATTGCGGATTCGGTGTTTAATCGGTTTGAACTGAACTCAAACGGATTTCCCTCGGTTTTCCTCGGTTTTCCAACGCTATATACTCGTGTACGTTCGGTGATGCACTGAGGAACTCGGAGAAATTATTGAACCTGTTTAATAATTTCTCCGAATTGTCGCGACAACCTCAATACGGACGGTATCCGGTATACACACGGAATATGCACGGAATACACACTGTACTCATTCGTTGCCATTCGTTGCAATGCGGAATAGGTACGGAAGAGTACGGAACAGGCCTCCGATTCCGATCGATAACCGTATGTATTCAGAGTTCATTCCGAATCCACACCATTGTAATGCCGATCAAAAAACGGACGCACCGAATATAAACGGAATGTTCGGAAAGCGGTCGGTCTTGAGATCAATGAATTTTTCAAAGTTTGGCATGTCCGGTGATGATCGGAGAGGTTCTGAATATAGACGGATTGCAATCGGAATAGCAACTTATTACATCCGGAATAAGACCGGATTATGATCGGTGTATTTTCATTTCTGGCTGGTTTTTTGACATTTCTCTCCGAATGTGTCCGAATTAATAATATTTCAGATCGGTTCATGAACGGAATTATAGATTCGGACAAGTGTGACAGGGGCTTATAGTCCGTATCCACTGCGTGTTTTGAACGGCCGGTGTCACATGAAAATCCGACTCCTATGAAAATCGGACCCCTTTTTCTCTTTTATTGGTTAATCCCTCGCACGTGACAGGTCACTCTCCCCAAACGATCCTAAAAATAGCGTAGTATCGTACTCTCGCGTTCGCACTGTACTACTACCAATGAGTCCATATTGCATGGAGTCGGATATTCACACTACACCGGTTGAACAACACCGGCACTGGCAATGGCGGACAATAAAAATTCTAGCCGCGCTGTTGACTTGGATCAATTGTTGAAATTCCTCATTCGACAAGGATGTATTGTCCACAAGAATCCGACCAACAAATCACTTTGTCCAAGCAAGGTATTCGGTTTTTTCGGTTTTTTTCGGGTCGGGTCGGTTCGGGTAACCACCCCTGCTCTGACACACAAACGTTTGCTAATGGTGTAAATCGAGCAATTTCTTTTGTTCCTCTTCCCTTTTCCTTGTTTGTGCTAAAACTTTTTTGCAACAGCTCCCATTGGTTTTGTACGCGTTTTCTAATCGATTCGCTTCCTGTCCTCGATTCATCGATGATGTTGCACGTGTGTGTCCTCGATTTACACCATAAGCACGCACTGATGGATTATGTTACAACACAAACAGGACACTAACTTATGTACTGATCACTCGTAATGGTCAGAGGTGTTTCAAGCAACATCTAAAACTTAGATTTTCGGCAATTAGCTCAAAATGTGTCCCCTAGCCTAGCTGCTGACTACAATAACCCCTACCTTTGTCGTTTTTGTATGTCCCCGACGTTTAGGATCACACTTGCAGGTGTAATTGGTCGGCGGTTTCTCTGTCCGAGACGTGCGCAGGACTGATGGCTGGCTTGCATGAACCGTAGAATATAAAGGTAGCTAGCATTGTGAGGAGAAGCCCACTACCCAACCTCGTCCCCAGTGCTTACTTTACTTCCAACGTTGTTTCCAATAGTAAACCCTGGATAGGAAACTTCCTTCCTGCATCCTGATTCGATACCGCAATTGGCTAGAAATGGATTTATATCGTGTACTTGGTGTTGTTATTCACAACGTGCAGTACGTGTTTTCGCGATCATTCGTCCACGCCTTCTCGAAAATATTCATTTCCTTTCCAGTCTGTTAATATTAATATGAAATGTGTCTCGTTAAGATCGAAACAGTTTAATTAAAATAAAATCATGTTTTCGTTACTCACGCCATGCTCGCGCTGCGACGAATTGATTCTGTTTTTACCCCAGACACCGCATACAAAAACAAACGCAAATGTAACGCACAGGCAGGCACCAGACTGTTCCTCATTTGCATACGTGTTCAAAAATCTTGCACATGCAAATGATCCAATACCAGGGTGAGAGAGCAGGTAGTGGTGGGCGCGTACTGCTCGACACCCTGGGGACGAGGTTGCCCACTACCCGCCTTATACACAATTTAGATAGAGGGAAATAGAGGGCGCTGTTGTAGCTTCCGTGTTAATTTGAAAAAAAAAAGTTGACGCGCATGATTAAAATCGACGCGCGCGCTGACCAAAGACCGAGTATTTTTTTTTTTTTTTGCCTAATATTCTTTTCATTAAAGCAACTTTCCTATTTCTACGGTTCTCATTTCTTACCGGCCCTTTTAGGTGCTGTCGACCCAAAAATATAATAAAGACCTTTATTTATTACTGTCGACCCTGTTTGGAACCGCCAATAAAAAAACACAGGGAAACAAATGAATGAAACCGCAAATCCAGACAATTAGGCTTTGAAGATGAGGCAAATATAGTGGGAGCCCCGGTTTTGATGCAAATTTGGGATTCATCAATTGCGCCTCCGCATGGTTGCCATAGAGGTAATCATGAATATGCATGCTTGGTCGTCATCAGTAGGCCTACATCCATGGCGGGTCCGGATATTTGTGCGGGGGTGGGTTTCATCAGCAAAGCAACGCTGAAATGTTGACAGGGGTTTTGTTGTCTGGACATTTGGCCTCCGTAAAGTCAATATGTGGGGTACGTGGGGTGGTGGGGGGGGGGGGGGGGGGGGGGTCGTACGATACTTTCAATGGGAGCGCTGTTCAAATCCGAAGGTTATTTAACACTGTATTACAGAAAGTGTTTTATACACAGTTTTGTCCGTATTTTGTGCACCGGCGGACACTATTTCTACTAATTGTTTTGGGGTGTCACAGCAGGGGGAGGGGGTTCGCATTATTTTTAATGAATTTCTATGAGAAAAAAACAAACAATTTCACGTTTTGGACAGAGCTGGGGTGCGGTTGGGGTTGACCCCCGCCTACCCCCCCCCCCCCCCGGATCCGCGCCAGTATATCCAGGGGCGACCAGTACGGAGTAACACAATCTTAGGTGCGGGTTGTCGGAACATAGGTGTCGGGTGTCGGAGCATAGGGGTGTCGGAGCATAAGGGTGTCGGAGCATAGGAATGTCGGAACACAGAGCAGTCACCGTTCAGCGCATGTGTTCTGATCCTTAAGTCGCTCTCAGGTCGACCTGCGATTTGCTAGCTTGCGCCACGTCGAAATTGTCGACATCTATCACAAAACTTATACTCAATCTGAAATTGGGTGATTATCGCGAAAAAAGTGCCTCTCGACACAGAATAATTATGTCACTGTAAATATGCCACTTATGTCAACCATGGACGTAAATCACGTGGTATGGGGGATGGGGAGGAGATATTATCCTGCCCTCCCCCTCCAAAACAAAAGTTCAACCGGGGGGGGGGGATGTATCATTGAATCAGTCCCCGCCTCAGGTTTTTGTGACGTGAGAAACTAAAAAAATGACGATCTTGAGGTTATCTTGTACACTTTCCAACGGTCCAAATTTTATTTAGCAGACTAAGAGTTGAAAATCAGAAAACATACAGTTCCAAAGCTTTGAATGCACGATTTTTTTTGTAAGGTTAAGAGACATAAGCGCACACATGTTCAATCATGTAGGCCTACATTTGGATCATGAACAGTGGTGGTGTGTCAGCCCCCAACCCCCCCCCCCCAACTCCCACTCCCGCTTTGTGCATTTCCACGGCCATGCCCCATCCCCCACGTGAACATTTCACTCGTTCAAAATGGCCGCAAATATCTTGATACAAATATCGCAGGGGCGGATCCAGGAATTTTTGCAGGGGGGGGGGGGTTCATCAGCAAAAAAATCTGAAAATGTACACAGGTTTTTTTATCCGGACACTTGGCCTCCGTAAAATCAAAAACTGGGGGGGGGGGGCCTGGTACCATATTTCAATAGGGGGCACTGTTCAAATTCGACGATTACTAACACTAGATTACAGAATGGTGTACCGTTTTTGAACAGGCGGATATTATACCAGTATAATTTTTTTTTTGGGGGGGGGGGGTGCACGGGGGGGTTCGACTTATTTTTTTTTAGGAATTTGTATGATAATTGTTTGGGGGGACAGAGCTGGGCCCCCCCCCCCCCTCTGGATCCGCGCCTGTATCGGACACAAGCAACAATCAATAAATACACAGCATTTAGAGAAACTGACAACGAATATCATTGTTTGTTCTTTGCTATTTAACTAACAGAAAATAGAAAATTGAAATTTATAAAGGTAGTTACGAGCTGACAGGTTCCATAATCACCAATATCAATAATATTTGTGACCTACTGTAGCATAATGAGGAATGTCCCCCGAACCCATGTTTTGAGTAATCAACGCCTGAAGTTGCATACACAAAGAAATCATGTCAAAATAAATATCAGGGTTTTTTCTTATTATTTGAGTAGCCAAGGTATCCAAGAGTCACACTATGCATTTTTGTTGCGAAAAATATCCCCAAAAGTTAGCGGCTCAATGCGGATTTCTTTTTTCAAAGCCGTTTTTCTCGAAGTGAGGTTTGCGAAATCAGGCGCGACTCTGTTGAAGTTCCTGTGGCATATCTTTGGAATAAATTAAATCATTCCAAGTATCATAGGAAATTCAATGATCTGCGCTTTGCGATGCGATGCGATGCGAGGGTGCAGCCTAGCCTACACCGACTCATGCGCTTTAACATGATGTAGGTAACTTGAAAACTCAAAGGTGGGGTTATTCCTCATTATACGATATGGCAGGTCACATTTATCTGAGATAGTTGAGTAATTAAAGAAATAAGCTTTTTTTTCTTCTAAATCTATTGACCATCGAAATGAATATGCAAGGCCGGTCGTTAGCACAGCAACGGGATGCAATTGTTTGTTTCTGCATTGCGCACGCGTCATTTGTTAACGCAATAGTTCACTGGGATTAACTTCCCGGCAAAAAGAAATCCTCCGGGATCATGAATCAGGAATAAGAAATGTGAAATTTATTTCATCGCTCAGGAATGGACTTGCATAAATACAATTCAAGAAATAAAATTCACTCAACTGACGTGTTCCACACATGCGTGTTAAGGTAAATGACTTAACTAGCCTGCAGAAGAAGTTGCAAGCGGGAGCAAGGCAGTGCGAACATGGCGGCCGCCCTAGTGCAGTGTCAATGGCTGGATCAGTTGCCAAGTGTTCGGCTTGCTCCATCAATAGGATTGATTACGTACCATTTTAATAGTTAATTGTTCTAAATCAATTAAACCAGGAACAACGGTATCAAACGTTTTTTGACGAACTCTTATCTAACCCGGAAACGTAACCTGGACACTTCTCTCCCGATGATCTAATTCTAAACTCTTATCTAAAGTATATTTTAAAACCCTCGAGCTAACCATGGTATAATGAAGTGCGTTAAAGAGAACTGGGAATAGGCTTAATCTGCAATCATTCTTCAAGCAATTCTTATTGACTGCCTAAATATATCAAAGCATTCTGTGTTCAGTTATAGGCCACGTGTCAGTGTTGGGCTCAGCCGTGTGATTTTCTTCAGCAGTTCTGCAGGAATCTTTGAGTCATCATTGGCCGCACGCTAAAAAAAAAAAAAAAGAGGATGGTACAATTTTTTTTAATATTTCCATTGGAATTTATTCTAATTGTACTAGGGTGAGTCGAATGGCTTTCTCGGGAGCCACTGAGAAGCAGGGTTTTTATAATGGCTGATATTTAGCCGTCGCTCGTGCGGAATTAAGTTATTATCTCACCTCGTGACAGATGTCAGGGACGTGGAAAAATTCCTCTTCTTCGCTTTCACAGATGCCAAGCTTGAAGTCGGTGATGTGATTGTTCTCAGTAGTAAATGTTACCCCTGTAACACAATCAAACAAAACGGAATCGACAAAGTGAGCCGGGGAGGTTTCACGCCGTTGTTATTGGGGTAAAAAAAATAGGCTATACTCTTCCATTCGTGTGTTAATAAGGTTCAGATGCAAATGCAAAATGAAGTACTCCTCAGTGCTGCAGGCAATCACAAGTCAACTCACAGGTAAGGTCACATTAAAAGGGAAACATGAATGCCTTCGTCAGAGTTTATTTGTATAGCTTGTAACTAAAGGACCTGAGATTGACTTGTGATGATTAACATAAAGGGCTTGTTATAAAACAAAAGTACGACTCAAAACTATTAAGCTCAAAGATAAACTTATGGCCTACTTTCCTCTGAAGAAGGATTAAGGACATGACTTTCAAACAACCATGAATGTATCACGATTTACAAGTTTGCCAACTTATTCTTGTGCCATGTCTGCCTAATTCTTGTATTTTTGTAAGGGAATATGAATGAGATAAAATTAATGGCATAATTTTGTAGTCCAGTCCCTCACAGAGCCTAACAAGTCCTCCAGTCAAATATCGCAAGTCATTCAAATGAACTGTGATGAAACCAAGTTCCTTTTAACTGTTAAATGCTATACTTGTGACTGGGCTTGTGAAAGGACCCTTGTGATTTACTTTTGCCCGACTTCACTACACATAAAACAATGGTTCCTAATGTTTGTGTTTGCTCTGACCAGTGTCTGGACTGACGTATCGGGCAGTGGAGTACAGGAGCACACATTCATCTGTCTGAAGGGTGGAGACGCGGTGGACGTCCTGCCCGGGTTGTTTCTCCAACATGTACCAAGAGTCGACCTCTACTGCACGGTCACCCAGGCTATGCGAGCCGACGTAGGTGGCGTCCTCTGAGGCAAACATGAATAATTCATGATTAACACAATCTTGAAGAGAGTTACAAAGCTGGTACCTGTTACATGCAGTCTGAGGATCAGACGATATCGCCCAAACTGCCAAACAGTTTTAAATGGTTTCCATTCACATGTGCAGAGCCGCATAATGAATGTCTGATATATCCGAGCGTGCAAATTTCATGCAATCCCTCGCACCAGCAACTCGGAGTTGACTTGAGAAATTTTGACGCCAATTTCGAACAGAAATTCGGCCTGAGCTGTTGGTTGGCTGCCATATTTTTAACACATAACGGGTTAACGAAGACCCGATAGAAGGCGCCCGCTGACTGGTCAGAGTCTAGAAGCCAAGACGCTGTCGCCATGTGTTGTCAGGAAAAAGCAACGGGGTTTTCAACACCATTATGTGAATTTACCATTTGTCATTGCCATGTCATTCCAATTTCATTAATCAGTTGTCAATGTCCTTTGTCTTAGCAACTTTCGTAAAAACAAAGGCATGTAAAATGACACTGTCCTCTTTATGAATTAAGCATGAAGTCAATCTATGAGAACTGCATGCAAAATACAAAACAATTTAAGATAAAGAAATCGGTGTACCTGGAATACAGTCCTCCTGAAACCTTTTCTTTAACTCGTTCACCCTGCAGGTTAATTCTCCGCTAAACCTTGCGATAGAATACGAAACTCCCTGCAAAACACGAACAGCGATGCCATAACTTTCCAGTAAAAAATATACAGCTTTTTCCACCATGACAAGACTTCCCTGATTAATAAACTATCCCCTGAGCAAGCCATTCTGCTACAAAATTAGCCACAAAGGTTAGTCAATAAGAGGAAAAGATGCGGACTTTCGATGCTTCGTGTTGAATTAAGTCTCAAAACGTAAGATGGTGAAACATGCAATGCAAGAAAATAGACTGGCTTATCCGTGGCGCACCCAAGGGGGGGGGGGGGGGGGCTTTGTGTAATTTTTTTTTAGTTCAACGATTTCACCTGTGGCCTATTTTCGAGTAGTATAATAGTTGTGTAAGTGGCATACATTTTTTTCTGCGTCCAAAAAATTTGGGCAAAATTTTGTGAAAACAAAAATTAACTCCTACAAAAAGTGAAAACAAAAATTGTGAGCCCCCCCCCCCCGCCAAATTCTGGGTGCGCGCCTCTGTGGCTCACGAAACAATAAGTCATTCAATGTCTTTAGTAAAGTTTGCTAAAAAGAAGCATCTGGTTCCAAGTCGCTCTTTTCGTAATTTTTCGTAAAGCCATGCCACCAGTCTACTAAATTGTCAATTGTCAAACAACAAAAACAAAATCTTTGTTCACGTCCAGCTTTGAACTTCTTATTTAAATTTTAACTGAGACTTGAAATGTTGAAATGGTTAGAACCTCATCTTAATTGCTTTGCATGTGTCCTACACTCGGTGTCTGAATCTGGATTGTGAAGTTGGGGAGAGTAAAGACAAGCTGACTAAAAAGGGATATGAACCGTCTTGTCAAACAAAGCCCGCCCAGGTGCTCCACCAACTAAGCCATCATGCCCTGTTTTACAAATTTACATTGAAGGTGATGCTGGAAGAGTGCTGCACTGGCAAAAGAACTTCTAAATAGCTGGGCAAACTATACAAAATCACAAAGTAAACTATCTTTGTTTTGCAACTATACACAGCCCAGATATTTGTCTCAATACAGAGATTGCACACAACGCCCTCAATATGGACATGTCTTTGTTCATCTGCGGTACACATGATTAGAAACTTTGCACTTTCCTTGTCCAGTGAACTCCAATTATGATACATGTCTACTGTGAGGGCGCTCTGCGCAAACTCTCTATTAAGGCGACCAAGTGCGAAGAGTGAATACGTACGGCGGCGTAGTCATCAATGGTGTGGTAATATTCTTCCGTCCCGTTGAAGAATCCCAGGTGCGTCTTGCTGGCTGTCCTCTTTGAGACGCTGTCGTAGGCTGTGCTGGCCCGTTGCATCTCAACACTGACACCTTCACCCAAGGAGTACGTCAGGAAGTGAGCTGTGTCCAAGAAAACAGGAAGAAGACTTCAACAGAGTATTTTACAGTAAAACTTTCTAAAGTGAGATCCTCGGAGAACGAAGACTATCAAATTTAAAGAGCAAAATTTTGAAATATTTAACTGTAAAACAGAAGTTTGGCTCTGAAAACCAGAGGTGTAAAAACGACCTTTTGGTCAGTAGGTTCGGACTGTTTATCTCTTCTACCAAAAGAGCGAATGCCACATTTCTCTTTATTTCGAAAATGTGACATCGTACCATCAGTATATCAGCTTGAGACCTCGATTTCTTTTTAAGATTTGTTAAATACTTATATTATGTGCAATAAGACTTATATTTTTATATCATCCGAGGTTACATATTTTATTCGTAAAATATTTTTTTGTACTTAAATAAGTCTTGAACTGAGAGGAATTAGCGACAAAGCAGTGTACAAATACACATGTATATTTTACTGATGTCACAAGAAATGTCCAAATTATTCGTGTAAACTCCTCAGCGATGTCGTTTCAAACTGTATATGTTTCTTTGTAATGTTGTATTGTATTGTAATGCATTATATTTGTGCATACCACATGTGTGTAAAATCATTAGTAGTACATGCAGGGCCAAAATGGAAACCAGTTTATAACTGATTGGGCACGCCCTGGGTAAAGAAGTGCAATAAATAAATAATACATCACTTAATAGATTTATTTTTCCGCAGTTTTGTTCCTGATCAAATGGTCGAAGTAACGTCTTCATTACAATTTTTCTCAGTCTTAACACTGAATGAATCGTTAGAATCCGTTTACTTGCAGTAAATATACTAAAACATGAAATTTCACAAAAATTTGACATCTGAAAAAGGCAGCACTTTCTGATTAGCCTATAGAGAGGGTGAGTATGCTTCTAAAGCAAAAACCCTACAAACTAAGCCTAAATGTGAAAATCAAAATTTGTCAAAGTGCGACACGTTTTTGTACATGTTGAAGTGTGGCCTATGTTTACGGAGGTAGTCCAGTAAATAGGCCACATTTATGGGGCTAGCAGTAAATATACTAAAACTGACTTACTGGACTTGAAGGTAGAATAGCTCGGCGCACAGCATGGCTCCGGTTTGTCATCTCGCAGCTCACCGTAAACACCGGCAATGTCGTCTGGTACCTGTACCTCAGCAGCTACCAGAGCTACAACCAAGATTCCGAACCAAAGATGAAACATACTGCTTGTCAATTAATTTAGTATTTAGTTTGAAGTCGAAATAAAGGTGTCTGCAATGGACGTGGTGTAGTGGAAGGTGTACTGCTGTACAGTCTTATATTGGCAAAAAACGTGACCAACTTGCTCAAAGGCCTTCGTGAAGTTATAAGAAAAAAGGCACAATAATGCGAACCACCTTGGTCTATAAAGCGTTTCGGATCGGACAATCGTGTGGCCCCGAATTTAATCGGACTTTGGAGTGGGCAAACAGGCTTTTATAACACTTCAAAGAAATGTTTGGATGGTTGAATATATTTTGAAGGCCACAGGTAGTCCTTTTCAAATTATCCCCAATCGTTACTGAATATTTGAATAGAAAGTGCACTTTTCCCAAGGACAGCCTTTTAAAGCTGTCCTTCTTTGGAGTGGCAGGACAAAACTGCCTTCGCATGATGTCGCCCTGCACTATGTGCCAAACTTTTTGTCCAAAAATGTGAAGTTTATAAGGCCAGGTGCTAAGGTGCTTTCGTACCACCAACCATATACCAAGTCGGGGAGATGGGGACAGTTAATTATTTTGACAAAGATCCTGCTTGGATCAAATGTCCGAACCTTCAACCCCAAGATTGATAATCTCTGAACGGCACTCTACATAATTATATTTATAAAATATATAAACCTCCGGTTGCAAAGGGAGTGACGTCAAAAGTCACGGGCTATCATCAGTCCGACATCCCACCACTCTCCGCTCTGAGAAAAAGAATGTCGCTGGTGACAACCTGGGACTCGAGCCTCAAACCCCCAGATTGATGATCTGAGATCGGCACTCTACCGACTGTTTTACTGGCTCGCACTTACCAAGCCGGGTATTTAAAAAATATATATATATATAAACCTCTGGTTGCAAAGAGTGATGACGTAAATAGTCACGTGACGTCGTCAGTCCACAATCGCACCCCACCCAACCACTCTCCGCTCTGAAAAAATGATGTAATTGGTGACAACCTGGGGCTCGAACCTCCAACCCAAAGATTGATGATCTGAGAACGACACTCTCGCCTGACTGGGCTGCCGGCTTGCACTTACCAAGCCGGGTATTTAACTTGAACATCCCACCCCAAGATTGATGATCTGAAAACGGCACTCTACCGACTGGGCTACCGGCTCGCATTTACGTAAGCTGGGAATTTATGAATTTTATAAACCTCTGCTTGCAAAGAGTGGCGATATCAAAAGACATGTGTTGTCTGCAGTCCCTCCCACATCGCCTGCGCTCTAAGAAAAAAAAATGTCGCAGGTGCCAAACTAGGGCTCGAACCTCCAACACTAAGATTGGTGATCTCAGAACGGCACTCTACCGACTGGGCTACCGTCTTGCACGGACTAAACCGATAATTTTAAAATTATATAAACCTCCGTTTTCAAAGGGTGCTGACGTCAAGGTCACGTGTCGTCGACAGTCTCTCCCTCATCCCCTGCGCTCTGATGAAAAAAAAATAAATGTGGCTGGTGACAAGCTGGGGCTCGACCCTCCGAACCCAAGATTGATGATCTCAGAACGGCACTCTAACTTCTGGCCGACCGGCTTGCACTTTCCAAGCCGGGAATTTATAAATTAATTAAACCTCCGCTTTCAATCGGTGCTGACGTCAAAAGTCACGTGCTGTCGTCAGTCCGACATCCCACCACTCTCCACTCTGAGAAAACAAAATGTCGCTGGTGACAACCTGGGACTCGAACCTCCAATCCCAAAATTGATGATTTGAGAACGGCACTCTACCGCCTGAGATACCGGCACGCACTTACCAAGCCGGGAATTTATAAAATATACAAGCATCCGGTTGCAAAGGGTGTGACGTCAAAAGTCACGTGCTATCGTCAGTCCAACATCCCACTACTCTCCGCTCTCCGAAAAAAAGTGTCGCTGGTGACAATCTGGGGCTCCTACTTCAACCCCAAGATTGATGATCTGAGAACGGCACTCTAACGACTGGGCTACCGGCTCGTACTTACCAAGCCGGGAATTTAAAATATATATAAACCTCCGTTTTCAAAGGGTGGTGACGTCAAAAGTCACGTGCCGTCGTCAGTCCTCCACCCCACCCCGCTCTGAATATATGAATATAAATATATATAATTAGAGACAACCTGGGGCTCGGACCCAAGATTTATGATCTATCCCAAGATTTATGATCTAAGAACGGCACTCTATACCGACTAGGATACCGGCTCGCACTTATCGCACTCGCACTTTATAAATTATATAAGCCTCCGCTTTCAAAGGTGCAGACGTAAAAGTCACGTGTCGTCAACAGTCCTTCCCCCATCGCATGCGCTCTGAGGAAAAAATAATTGTCGCTAGTGATAACCTGGGGCTCGAACCTCAGATTGATGATCTGGGAACGGCACTTTAACGACTGGGCTACCGGCTCGTACTTACTAAGCCGTGAATTTATAATATATATATAAACCTCTTGTTGCAAAGGGTGGTGACGTCAAAAGTCACGTGTCGTCGACAGTCTCTCTCACATCGCCTGCACTCTGAGGAAAAAAATAATTGTCGCTGGTGACAAGCTGGGGCTCGAACCTCCAACCTCAAGATTGATGATCTAAGAACGGCACTCTACCGACTGGGCTACCGGCTCTCACTTACCAAGCCGAGAATTTATTATATATATAAACCTCTGGTTGCAAAGGGTCGTGACGTCAAAAGTCACGTGCCATCGTCAGTCCCATACCCCACCCTACCCTACCACTCTTCGCTCTCAATAAAAATAATATATATAATTAATGACAACCAGGGGCTCGAAACTAAGACCCCAAGATTGATGATCTAGGAACAGCACTCTATATCGACTGGGCTACCGGCTCGCACTTACCAAGCCGGGAATTTATAATATATATAAGCCTCTGGTTGCAAAGAGTGCTGATGTCAAAAGTCACGTTTCGTCGACAGTCCCTTCCCCTATGACCCTGCGCTCTGAGGAAAAAAATAAATGTCGCTGGCGTCAAGCTGGTGCTCGAACCTCCGACCCCAAGATTGATGATATCAGAACGGCACTCTACCGACTCGCACAGAGGGAAAAAAATATTGTCGCTGGTGGCAACCTGGGGCTCGAACCTCCAACCCCAAGATTGATGATCTCAGAACGGCACTCTACCGACTGGGCTACCGGCTCGCACTTATCACGCCGTAAATTTATAATATATATAAACCTAAGGTTGCCAAGGGTGGTGACGTCAAAAGTCATGTGTCGTCGACCGTCCCTCCCCCATTCCCTGCGCTCTGAGGAAAAATAATTGACAGGGCTTTTCACTTCTTTTGAATGACACCGGTGTATATGACCCGTGTTATAAAGCTATCACGCGGCACGGCTGTACAGGCGTAAACTTGAAGGTACGTCTGGCAAACCCGCGGTGGACCGTCTGATTCACATGGCTAGTTAACTTGAAAAGACAGATTGTTAAAGGTTTTTAGGAAGGATTGAGATTCCTTTTTTCTTCTTATGATGAATATCGAGCCTAGATCCTTTTTGTTCGTGCAAGGCCGTTCCCTACACAACCTAGCGCTCAATTGTGATTTTTTTTCTCAACAAGTTCACAGCAGTGATTGCAAATGAATGCCGCCTGCTTACGCCCGTGTTAAAAGTCGCTGTACACGGCCTAAATCCTGTACCGTACCTATATAGTATCTATCGGATCCTGCCATAGCGTAACTACTGATACCAGCAATGGCGTGCCGCGTGGCGTCAATAGTGGTGGTTGCTGTTTTTCTTTTGGTCCAAGCGGTGGCTGAGGAACCTAAACCATGTTGCTGGATCAGTCAGATGTATGGAGCATGCAGTAAGTTTTAGGGGGTTGAACGTATGTAAGATCCTAACACTACCCCAATACCTATGTTCCTCAATACCTATGTTTCCCAACCCTAACCCTAACCCTAAGGAATCCGGGGAACATCGTTATTGGGGAACATAGGTATGGGGGAACATCGGGTAGACCCCGGTGTGTGCTGAAAGCATCGGGCCGAGCTGACCACTCACAGGGCTACCGGATGAAATCAAACATGTTGAATGTTTTCGCATCCGATTTCACCAGATTCGATATGTCACCGGAAATTCACACGAATCAACTTTGACGGATGCCATTTTGGGTCATCATGGGACCGTTCATCATGTGACCGGTCATCATGTGACTGATCAATCAAGATACCGATTATATAGAACGGAATCAGGCATGTGTGCGGGTAATGTTGCAGTCTAACCACAACGCGTATCGGTTTACTGGATATCGGCCATCGTACAGAGGTGTGCGCTGAAAATTCGTACCGATATGGCCGTACACCGCGCGAACGGATGAAACCTTACTTGTTTGAGTTTTTTGCATCCGATGTTTTTTACCGGATCCGATTTTACCGGGCGCTTATGAAATTCCAATATAAAATTCCAACATGAATGTTTCTTGGGGTGATTACCATTAGAAAATATTCTGTCAAAAATTATTTCGAGAGAAAGGCAACTCCGTGTAAAAGTGCGATAGGAAGGTCACGGATGGGTCCAGAAACTCAAAGACAAAATGGCGTACTTTCAGGCTCTATTGATGAACAAAATCGTGGAAAATGTTGACTTGTTCTGACTTTTTGACCGGAAGGTCTTTGTGAATGGGGAAAAAAATTGCTCTGCTGGTATAAGCAGTGTGATTCGTTTCTTATGTCTCTGACTTTGCACTTAAGCCTTTTTAATATTGTAACTCCACAGTGGTCCAGGAGGATAAAGAGTTGGAGGATGGGACTATAGTCGTGGAGGACACGCTCGCCGAGTTTGCCTACGATAAGACGTTCAGCGCTAAGGCCTTCATTTTCACCGAGACCTTTGAAAACGGCACCCAGCTCATCGCGCGGATTGTAGAGTTATCTGATTTGGTAAGTTTACATATAGTTCGAGCTCCAACAGCATGTATGCATGAAAACTCTCCATTTCCTCCGAAACTGCCTGAAAGCTGGATTGTTTTTCTGAATGCCCAACTTACTTTTCCTGTGTTAGTAACTAGTTCAGTGTGCTTCCAAAACAACTGTCACGTTGTAAGAAAGTTATACTTAAAAGGCAATAGTGCAAATTTTCCACACTTTTCTTTAACAGGTAGCCGACAACCGATGTGAGTTACGGAAAGACTCTAATAACTGATTGAGCCCCTTTTATAAGACTAACTAGAACCTCTACCTCCCGAAAAAAACTGTCAAGTCTACATTGTGAACAGACTTCTTGTGATTCGACTTGTTACCCACTTGTCACCCACTCACAGTTGACTCAATTTAGACTCTTGTTTCTTACAATTTCAGGCTGTCTCAAAAATGTCTCAAAAAAGTCCAACAACTTATTTTTCTCGATTTTTTTTATTTTAAATACCATGAGATGATTGAGTGTTTTCTCTACCCTTGACAGGATTTTTGTTCTGATGGATTTGGACCTTTTGTTTAAAACTCACGGCAAAGTTTGTAAAGACTGTCCAAATCTGTTTGGGCCACTTTCTTCACCTTTTTGGTTTGTGAAGACATTATAGATACCAAAGTGGCTCAAATTGGAATTCAAATCCTTTCATTTAATTAGGTGTATCTCTGGACTGGAGTGTCCAAACGAGATGGGATAAGGACCATTGTGTACAGTATTTACTACACTTAAGCAAACAAAGATAGTGCTAGTATTTTTAATATTTATGGTTGACTGCTTCACCATTTGAGACACCATGCATTTAAGGATAAGTCACAACAATCTTGAGGTTTTTTTTTTTAATTTTCATTTTCTTTTGCGCACGTTGATCCCATAGGGGATAGCCTACTTCATCCAGGACAACCAAGGCCAGACGAAATGCTCGAAAAAGCGGATCCCTGCCCGGTTCAAACCAAACTGCGTCCCTGGTAAATTATTTGTAAAGCTTGACTTTAACGGGATCACAACATCACAATCAATGATTCAATAAAATAGGTCTTGGTTTCAGTACCGTTCAAGGAAATATGAGCACTCTATACTGTTTGCATCTGTGACCTTGGGCACCCTTCAAAATCTTTCAAAATGTACCCTGGGGATTTTTTTGGCCAGACAGACGAAGTTTCGAGCCAGCCTTTTACTATTCACAGGGCTGACCCTTTACAGGTGAAAATACATGTACAACGACTTTTTAACACTTTATCGTCAAGGGTTCATTTTGAATTATGCAGAATCTTGTAGAGTTGAGCATAATGAAGGATTAGGGAGGTTCCTGGCACAAAACTACAAATAAATCCTACATTCTGTCGAATGTCCAATGATGCCCTTAAATGATTTTAGGAACCATAAGCAAGTGGCTAGAATGTATAGAATACATACAAAAGTGTCCTTTCAAATGGGAATTTTAAGTACTTTTCTAGTTAAAAAACAATTACTTTTAGCAAGTGTAAACCATATTTGCTTGGGTATTAACATTAGGCCCCTAACTTACTTTTGAGAACTTAAAAATGTTGGTGCATTCCAAAGGGACACGATTTACGTTTATGTTACAGAAGCGGCTCGATTTTGGTCTAACGCTACTCTTGGTGACCACGCCCTCAATGGCAACATATGGGAACGCAACAAATTTGAGGATGGACTGCTTACCAACACGACTTACTTGATGGCGGCCGACTACTGCGTGCCACTTTCTGTCAACCATGTCGTTTATAACTTGAACCCAAGCCCGCCAGGTAAGTCAAAGAGGTGTAGCACTCAAAGGGCGTCAATGCAGTCGATTCTCAAAAGTGGTGGGACTCTCTTATAATCCGGATCCAGAGGGGGGTTTGGGGGTCGTTTGGGTGTCACGTTTGTATTTGTGCACTATTCTTTAATATAGTGTTAATGATCGTCGGATTTGAACAGCGCCCCCATTGAAAGTATGGTGCCCCCCCCCCCTGGAGGCAAAGTGTCCGAGAAATACCAAACTCCGACATTTCAGCATTGATTTGCTGATGAACCCCCTCCCCCCCCCCTTGCAAAAAAATCCTGGATCCGCCCCTATGGACCACATTCTTTAAAAGAGAGTTTTAAGAATTTACTCGTTTTTTTCTTTTCTTTTTTTTTTTACTCTTCAGTTAGTATTTTTAATTTTTGTATTTTTCACCCTCAAGTGTCCCATTTATGTGCTGGATTTGCTTCAAACAGCCAGCTCTGTTCTCTATGTTTATTGAAATAAAATGGATTTTAAGAATAAAATTTTAGGCTTTTTTATTATTCCCCATCTTTATCAAAAACTGTACCTCCCCTTGCATAAAACAAAATGCAATTCGAAATTGCGCTTTTAGATTCACCGCTTAGACTGCTGAGGCCAAATTCAGAAAGGAATTGACAAGAGTTTGGATTAACGGCGTAGCATCTTTGTAATTTCTTTCCCACTCCCCCAAATTACGAAATGTGTCTCCGCCCCCAAAAGAGAAAGTTTCAAATGTTTCATCTACAGTAAAAAGTATCGATATATGATTCTCCTTGTGGGCATATTTCACCAAAATTATAAAATTGACGCCCCGCCAACAAAAAATTCAGAGAAAATGGGTATACCATTGTTCAGTACGTCTTCATGTCGGCTCAAACGCACTTTTCTAGAACCACAAAATGGACTCGAATTTCACAGTGTTTCATCAATGATCCCTGAAATGTTCAATGAATGTTCTACCTTGATTGCATATGAAGGACGATTTTCTTTTTACCATAAGCAAACTGACTACTACCAAAAATAAGTCCAATCAAGCAACCTGGAGACCGTCAAGCTTTGCTTATCAAAAGTTGAACAAAGACATATAGTGAGACAGTATGTGAAACTGTTACCCTGGAACACCATTTTTGGCCCATACAAAGTAATTTCAATCATTTTTTCCCTCCAATTGTAGAGGTGGATCTTGTCACCTATGACTATGCTGACGTTAGGCTTGGAATTTGTGACAGAGACAAGTTTTTTCACATTCCTGAGGAGTGTTCACAGGTAACAACATGGAAGATATCTTGATCTGAATTTGCCAAAATTTCCCCATACTTTTGCATGGTGATTCTCCACATGTAGGCTTAACTACAAATGTAGCCCTAAATCCTCAAATTTCAAAACATTTTGTTTGCTCGGTGGGTGTTAGGGGTAACTTGCCACTTCAAGATAACCTTGGGATGCTGGACTCTCGGTGACAGTGATACTCATCAATTTTCCTCTTGTTTTCCACCAACATCTTGCCAAAGTTGCCTGTCGATTTTCTTTGATTTTCTCAGTCTCTCACGTATGCTGGTTAAAGGCATGTAGCATCATTTGATCCAAAAAAGTTTTCTACTAACGAATTAATATCATAAAGCTTTACTTGGATAAAGTTCGTACTGGTCGTAAACACACTTGAAATCCGTCTGATTTGCTGCCATTTAGAAGAAATCAAGAAATGTATGATTCCCAACTATCAGTCATCACTGTGCTACAACATAGTGTTTCGTGATCAGAGGGTTGTGCACAAAAGATGTCTTTGTTTCACTCTTTTTCTCGAAAAGTGTACCATATGCACTGGGCTTCAACAGGTTAAGTTTTGAACATTCGTTTTTGGATTTTGAGTGGTGTTATTTAATATTGAAAACGAACAAAATGAGTTTCATCGGCTTTCCCCAAAATTTAGATGGTTGTTTTGATCAACTTCCCCCAACTCATTTGAATCTTTCCCTTTTTTTTCATTTCACAGAGTCAGGATGCCATGACGCCGTTCATGGAGAAGAAGCTGAAACAACGTCAGATGATGGAGATGCCCTTCCGTCTGGACACACTCATGTGATTTCGAAGCTCGGCAATGTACGCTATATCAAGCCTAGAATGAGTTTTTTGTATTGATATACAATGTAGTTGTTAGAATAAGTTTACAAAGTAACAGACGGTCATGGCAAAAAGCTGGTGATTATGCCAGGTGACTCTGAAGTTTACTCAAAGTAGTTGGGATTACTTCGGCGTTTATTCTACTTTTCTCATTTACAGTAGTTGATACTCTTGTATCACAATGTATTTAACAGCACGTGGGTTCCTTTGCTTATATTGCCTTTTTTTTCCTTTGGAGCAAGAAAATTGCTCAAACCCTCAAGTAGATGCAAAACAGCCTGTTGAGGTTTAAACCCAGTGGCTTTAATACATTGTGAGAAAATACTTTTTACCGGATCCTGTAATTGAATTTCATTGCTAACGCCGCGGGCACACTATTTTGAAACCACTTTCTAGCAGCGATACCATTTTATTTTTCAGGCGGAAAACAGAGGCGCACCCGTGGGGGGGGGGGGGGGGCAGTGCGCTCGGGGGGCTTGCCCAAGAAGTTGTCCATTTTGTAATTTTTTTTTTGTCAATTTTATTTTTAGTCCTACGATTTGACTGTGGTGAAATATTTGTGTGGCCTATTTTCGAGTTATATAATAGGGGTGAAAATTGCGGCTCAACGTCAAAAAAAAATCCCCCCCAAAAAAACAAACCCCACATTTTCTGCGGCCAAACATTTTGGGAAAACATTCTTTCTTTTTTTTAAATCAAACTTCTAAAAAAAAATTGCGATCCCCCGCTCGAGCCCCCCCCCCCCCCCCCCCCCGATGTTGTCAATTCATTTTTTGGGGGGGGGGGAAATTTTCTCCTAATACCCCGATTTTACCGTGGTGACATATATGTTATTATTATGTGGCCTATTTTCGAGTAGTATAATAGGGGTGTAAATGGCGCCACCAAGGTCAAAATAGAAAATAGTCCGCCCTCCCCCCCCCCCCCCCCCCCCCAAAAAAAAAAAACCACAATTCTGCGGTCAAATTTTTGGGCAACATTTTTTGAAAAAGGTCTTAACAAATTTGACAAAAAATTTTTTACGGCACTAGCACTATGCACTTGAGACCGGTCCAACTAGACTGTACTCATTCCCGCCGCACACGAGAGCTACGTGCTGAGCAAAAACTCTCTCGAGACCGTTTGCTCAGCTGCAGCACGTAGCTGGCGTGTGTGGCGGGCTTTAGGACAATTTTCTACAGGTGCTAATCAGGTGCCAAGAACAAAATATTATGTGCTTTCCTTTGCAAAACTTAATTGAATACCATTCTTTTAACATCTCATGCACACTGCAAAATGTATAATGTGTTTTGCCTGTGAGAGGTTGTCTGTTTTTGTTTTGTACTAGCTGCATGATATGGTCGGGCCGTTGTAGTTCCCGTATTTCATATGACACACTATCATCCAAACATGGATTTAACTATTAATATTATCCTACAAAAAAAACACAGAAATGTCCTAACTCCTTGAAATCGCCATGCAATATTACTTACGATCTACTTTTAGTACATGTATGTCTATTACTGAGTTCTTCACCTAAACAGCGACCCAAACCCTTGAAAACTCTTGGACTCAAAATTTCAGCCATCTCTTTTTAATAAATACATATCTGCATCCGCCGCTGCTTACACCCGTCATTTTCTGCACAGTTTCATCTGTACCATTTTCTGGTATACTATGTTTCTCTCTCAGACCTCTGGGCTATTAACGTCTATGATGCTGGTTGTAATGTGTTTTGGACTTCAAAGGGGACCGTTAATTCCTTCTTTACTTAATTGGCTAGTGAATTTAGTCCATTTTCTACTCTTTAGCCTCTTTCAGAAATAAACCGCAGATGACAAAACGTTCTCCTGTTTCCAATCGGTTATGTATCAGTTGATGAGAGTGTGCTGTATAATAAAGCTACCGTAGGCCTACAGCAAGCACTGTACATGGTGCAAACGTGGACGTCGGGCGCAAGGCCGCCCGAAGCGCATGGCTGGCTTTGTTGAAAAGACAAATCTTTACAGCTTTTTGTTGCTTTAAATTCGGATTCAGATTCCTAGGTGGTTTTTTTTTCATATTGTATGACGACCCTGGATCCTTTTATGTACACGTAGAGCCGTTCCCTATAATACAGCCTATAGCGCTCAATGTTGCAAATCTGTCTACACAAGTTAACAGTAGGCCTATATTGCAAATAAATGCTAGCTGTGTATACGCCCATGCCCAAATTAATGTACTCGGCCTAAATCCTGATAGTGTATTCCAGCAATGGCGTGTCGCGTTGCGTCGGCAGTGGTGGTCGCTGTTTTTCTTTTGGTCGTCCAGGTTTGGGCCAAGGAACCCCAACGATGTTGTTGGATCAGTCAGATGTATGGAAACTTTGGTAAGATTTTGAGAAAGAAATGTGTATAAGATTGTAACCCTATATAGCTCCATAGTATGTAGGCCTACAATTATTGAACAAATCTTTGAAAATCAGACCTTATAAATGATCACGGAAAGAATGTTGCATCGTGACGCCACTTTTTTGAGGTCGTTTAATCCACAAATGTTGAAAAGACATGAATCTGGAACTGAAAAACATCCAAATTTGGTTTAAAAATACTTTTAAAATGGTTTTGACTCTCAATACAGTTTGTAACACAATAGCCCCATAAATGTGGCCAATTTACTGAACTACCTTCGTAAATAAAGGCCACACTTCCACCATGTACAAAAACATGTCGAACTTTGTCAAATTTTGATATTCACATGTAGGCTTAGTTTGTAGTTTATTTTTCCTTTACAAGCATACTCACCCTTTTGATGGGCTAATCAGAAAGTGCTGCCTTCTTCAGATGTCTAATTTTTGTGAAATTTCATGTTACGGAGGTAGTCCAGTAAATTGGCATGGGGCTAGTAACACAACCGCTGCAGTGGCGTCTGAATAGTTCATTCTTTCCTATTGTCAACTCGAAAAAATAATAGGCCTACATTCGTTTAAATAAACGTATAAATTGTAAAAGAATTTTAGACAAGGTTCAAACGTTTTGTGAACAAAACAAATGAAGGATTTTTATATAAAATATGAGAAAAATACATGGAAACGTAAGGTATCACTGACTGATTTCTGAACCATCTTTGTAATTGGTCTATCAAAGAAAACTAACTAGAAACGTTTAAGGGAAGATACAACATTTGCAAACATCAAAAAACGAAATGATCAAATTATCACGAAATACCTTTAATTCGATACTGGATTGTTTGGGAATGACCGTCTAAAGCATCCTGTAAAATCGTGGCTCCTTGTGTGCTGACATTTTCAACAACAAAAAATGTATTTTTCCAACGCTGGTCGGCCAACCAGCGTTGGAAAAACTGGCTTTTTTTCAAAAACTGTTCCTAAGTTTTCATATTTAGTTACTCCACATTTTCTTTGCAACTGATTACACACCTGTGAAGGGGTACAAGCCCTGCTAGACTGATTCTCTATACCTTACAATTTCCCAAAGTCTATAAATTGCTCCGTTTCATCTTAAGTGGGGTCAGGGAACCAGACTACAAAAACATGATTTTTTTTTTGGTTTTTCCAGCATCTAAAAGCCCAAAAAGTGAAACAAGTCAGTTTAACAATATTTGCTTTAACGTACTTATCCTCCAAATACATTTATATCTGAAAATTGTAGCAAAGGCAAATGTACGTAGAGTGAAGCCCAGTATTGGGCTTTGACTGGTGCTGAAAAATATTTTTAAAAATGCCAGCTTTACTAGCTCTTTAGCCGACAAAATTCTCCAAAATTTTTATGAGGCAAAGACAAGGTTCTGAAATCAGTATCTCAGCAAATCAGCAGCCAAGTTTAAAGTCTCAATTCAATTTTTGAAACCAGACTTTTCTGAGAGTAATGCAAAGCGATTTAAATTTGACGCCTAAGACTAGACTGGTACACGTCCAGCTTTTTGAAAAGATTGACCGCTCAGAAGTCTGGTGGCATGACCTGATGACTATGGAGAGAAACAGAGATCAGGTACAACACCGGATGATTCTTTTGATACAGTACTGTCGACTGATGCAGTACTGAAGTTGTGTTGGACTGGTTGTTTCATGTGCCAGTCTATTTCTTGTCTTGCATGTTTTTAATATCTTAAGTTTCGGGACTCTTATGCATAGCATTGAGACCCAATTTTTCGGACTCGGTCAAGCCTTTAAATATTGCCCTTAAAAAAAAGCAGGAACAAAATCATATATTCGGTTAAGAATTTAAATAAAACAGGTATTATTCCTACCGAATTTGGAATATTTTCTGTAGAATGCTTATGCACGGTTTAAAAATAAAATGACTTTGGGATTGGGCATCATTTCCAATTTTGGTAGAAAATGAACAAAGGCTCCCACAAAATTTGGAAAACAACTATACCAAAGAGGTATCAGGGTACTACTCTTCCCAGGTTTCTACTTAATTAAACTGATTTTTAATGGACACCTTCTGTTGTTGTAGTGTGAAGGATCGACTCCTTTGTAATGTCTCTTATACTTTGCATCATAACCCCTTTATTATTGTAACTCTACAGCGCTTCAGCAGAATAAGGAGTTGGAGGATGGGACTATAGTCGTAGAAGAGACGGGCGGAGAGTTTGCCTACGATAAGACCTTCAGCGCCAAGTCCTTCATTTTCACGGAGACTTTTGAAAACGGCACCCAACGCATCGGGCGGTTTGTGGATTTATTCGATTTGGTAAGTTTACACTACGAGCTTTCTTTGAACACCATTCGCTTCTTTGGATCTGATACACCGTACCCTCTGGAGACATGGGCACAATAGAGAACAAAAGATAGCATTCGTCTCCACAGGGCAATTGGTGAATACGTCTCCACAAGGTTATCACGAAATGGATATATGGATTTTACTCCAAAACTAGGAATTTCCAAGGTGTTAATCCGTCGCAAATTGAAGTATTTTATGTAAAGGATATTAAGTCCGAATTTCAGCCAAGGAAATTAATTCTGGTTTAATTTGGGGCATTTTGAAACTATACTTTCAAACTCGAAAAATTTAGTACACAAAACAAAGAAATGTCTCCACAAAGATAAACAAAATCCAGTATGTATGGCCTTGTGTGTAGAATGCTGTAGTTGAGAGTATCAGATCTCGGCGGTCCGTAAGTCTTTTCAATTCTTCGTACAAGAAAGCACTTATCTCCCAATATGCATCTTAGCCTTCCCTCCAAATTTAGTCTACTGTGTTTCTTTCTTCCTCACATGTTGAGTTTGTGTGTCTATTATTGAAGTTTTTGCATATACAACATTTTGCCTTCTTTTCATCATTATTGCCTCTGTCATCAGTATATGTTCCTTGTCTCGTGTCAGCTTACCCATTGTAATGTCTTTGTTTGTTTGTTTGTTGGGCTGCTTGTTTCTTTGTTTATTTGTTTGTCCTGTGTTGTTTCTACCGGCTTTTCTCCACAACTTCTGCTTATTTTAACAGCCCCAAATTTGCTTCTTATATTTTGCTGTTAATTTGATATTTACTACTTTATGGTTTAACCCTCAGTGCAAAAAGAAATCTTCACAAAAAAACCTGGCGACCACACACTCAAAAATGTACTGAGAAAAATTGCTTTTGTGTGTTTAGATGCCACGAGGCAAAGACGAACTCTTCAGTACACATCACCGGCCACATTTTATATATCATTGTAAAGTCAGTGAATATTTTGCCCCAGAGAGCTATTATACTATGTGAGATATGGTAGACACAATAGGAATCTTTTGTGTTTACCAAACCCAAATAGCGCCATCAGATTGATCCGCCATTTCTCAAATGGGCTAATAGAACAGGCGCTTGATTTGATTTGAAGCCAACAGGCGAAGACTGGTACATGACTGTTCCAAACGATCAAAAAGTGGGCCATTGTGTATAGTCTGGTGCCAAAAACATGGATGAAATGTATGGAAATATGGGCTTGTTACCAAGCCACACTGAAGTCGTGCAGGGCCACAGAATTTTTGGACTGGTAGGCATGGCATCATGCTCCAGTCTATTTTCTTGTAGTGCATGTTTGACTATCCCTGATTTTTTGGGCTCTCAATGGACCTAGTGCATGAGTGTCCCAAATATTGGACTGGAATGTAGCGAGAATCGCTCGTAAAAATGAGTCGCTTGACAGGGAGAAAGGTGCACTTTTGCGAGTTGTTTTTACTAAGAATGCAACTGTGATTCAACTGTGACGAAGCTCTTGCATAGGTGGACAGGAGCAAGGGCGGATCCAGAACACAATTTTTTTGGGGGGGGCCAAAAACAATTTTGGACCCCCAATAAAGTGGATCAAAAAAATTACGGCGTGGGGTTCGGGGCCCGCTTAAGGGCCCCGAAAATTTTTTGGATTCTAGATGCTCTGTGGTGCGATCTGAGGCAATTTCTGACCACTTTAACCAATGTTTTTTTGAGGAAAAGATGGTGGTGTACTCATTGCCTGCCTTTATTGCGATGTCACATAAAAAAATTTAAAAAGGGTCTCGTTTTGGGGGGGGGGGGCCATGGCCCCCTTTGGCCCCCCCCCCCCCTGGATCCGCCCTTGGACAGGAGACCCAACCACGATGACCGTTTTAGCAGATTTTCGGCTAGGTTTAACAGATTGTTTGGCTAAAATTGAGTCTAGCGGAAAATCTATCAGAATGAAACTTGTAGCAGATTTCTAGCAGGACTCCGTAAAATCGGTGATTATAGCAGTAACAGCGGAGACAGACAGGTCATGCCAGTCTAAGCGCTGAGGTTCCCTGACGCGTACACTTACGCAGTAAAGTACTATAGGAATTGAAGCCAGGCTAACACGACACGCGCCAATTTTTATTTTTTGGGGGGAAATTTTATATGTGTTTCGTTAAAGAAAAGATATAAAATCTGCATGTGTTTATAATGTGTTTTGTGTAGCTCTGTGAGAGTTAGCAGATTTTTGTTAATTCTAGCAGAATTTTTAAAATGTGTTCAGCAGAATTTTGCACTTTTTATCAGGTCACCCTGGACCTGACCTCATGAGGAAAGGCCATGACCTCGTGCATCTGATATGTTATTGGTTGCCATATGCGCCGTGACTAATTGCAAGGGTGGATGGGGGGGGGGCAACGGGAGCCAAATCCCCCCCCCCTCCAAAAAAAATGCACCCAATTTTCTTTTTGTTTAAGTGACGTTGCAATAAAGGCAGGCACGGCCATCTTTTCCTCAAAAAGATTTGTTTAAAGTGGTCATACGTTGCCTCAGATCGCACCACAGAGCATGTAGAACTCAAAACAAATTTTCGGGGCTCTTAAAGCGGGATCCGATCCCACGCCGTAATTTTTGGGACCCACTTTTCGGGGGCCAAAATTTGTTTGGCCCCCGAAAGAATTGTGTTCTGGATCCGCTCTTGACGATGTGTCGTACGTGTGGATCTTCTTCGAGTTTAAGCATGCGCAGAACATGGTGCATGCGAGCTATCCGTATACGGACACACCCGGTTTGTATTCAAGCTGTCATTTGAGTTTTGACTGTATTTACGTTGTTCCCACAGGGGGTATCCTACTTCATCGAGGATAACCAAGGCGAGCAGAGATGCCTGAGAAAGCGGATTCCTGCCCGGTTCCCAGAAAACTGCATTCCTGGTAATTATTTGTAGAGCTTGATTTTAGCTGAAGCACAATAGACCATTATCATGTTGCGCGGCCGTCATGATTTTTCCCATTCGAATCAACGTAACCAAAAGCGAGACTGGCAGGAAAAATAGGCTGGTTCCTTTTTGCACAAAAAGCATTATCATTCAGTCCTTTTATCGGATACAGGGAACATGACTAAAATGGTGGCAGCATGATAGAGGTCTGTACCGCTAGTAAAATAAATAGGTCTTGGTTTTCAGGCTTTTTTCAGCAATGTTCAAATAAATATGAACACTCTATTGTTTTATTCTTCATTGAGCTCTCTACCCTTCAAAAAGTTTCACAATCTACCCGGTAACCCGGAGGTTTATCAATGATAGTTTTTGGCCAGATAGAGGGAGTTACAAAAAAAGTCTGCCATTTAAAGGTGAAACAGAGTGAACCACAGTGTCCCTACACATTACAGGATTTTGAAAGAATAGGGAAGGTTTCAGCCAAAATTTGTTCTCTGTTCTAATAATGTCCCCGCGAATCCCTGTAGCCGTTTAGGGTAGGGAAAATGACTAGAATAAAGAGGAAAAACATTTAAAATGATACTTTTTTAAATGGGAATTGTGTTGCTCTTCTATTTAATAAAAACAAAATGTACCCTAAAGGATTCTGAAACAAGTAGCTGGAGTACAGATACAAATCAAAGCTTACTTTTTAGAAAATGGAATTTTGTTGTTTTCCCATCAAAAAAAGAGACGTACACGATTTACGTTTATGTTACAGAGAAGGCCGAGTTCTTTAATAACGTTACTCTTGGTGACCACGCCCTATCCGGCAACGTTTGGGAACTCAACGTATTTGGGGGCGGTTACCTCTTTAACGGGTCCTTCCTGGTTGCGGCCGACTACTGCGTGCCTCTTACCAACAACTATGTCAGGTATGACTTCAACCAGAACCCACCGGGTAAGTAAAGGAAGTGTGGCATTACTCTCTACAGGTGAACATTCATTCTGATGTGATGTTGTGCAAACCCGACTCGAAACCGAAACCGATCTGACCCGAAATCGATTTCGAGTCGGGTTGGTCGGTTTGTCCATCATTTTAGTCGGGTCGGGTCGGGTCGGTTTCGGTTTTTGCGATTTTCGGGTCGGGCCAGGTCGGGTCGGGCCAGGTCGGGTCGGGTCGGGTCTGGTCGGGCCTGGTCGGGTCGGTCGGGTCGGGTCGGGTCGGGTCGGGTCGGGTCGGGTCGGGTCGGTTAAGCCATGTTGAAAAAACCCGAAATAAACCGACGTGAACCGAAACAGAGTTGAAATTCACATGATGCACTATTAAATAAGTGCACAGTCACTGCGCGCTGTGAGTGCCGCACGGCATGATTTAGTTAATGAAAGCCGCCTTTTTTTTACACTTAACAGGTCAGTACAGGCGGACACATTTGCCGTCTATTGCCGAAGCCAGATATTCGGGTTTTTTTCCGGGACGTTTCGGTTCGGTTCGGGTCGGTTTTCTTTGAATTGTTGTCGGGTCGGGTCGGGTAGGTTTTAGGAGGTCCAGTACGGTTTTGGTTCGGATTCGGTTGATAAAATAATTGTCTCGGGTCACGATTTGGCCTCGCCAACCCAACCCGATGCACATCACTATTCTGTTGGTATGAAACTTCACTCGATCTGACTGAAACTAGGAAGAAAACGATAGTGAAATTAAATGCAATCCCTCGAATAGATCGAGTTTTTCACTCAAGTTTCCACTATTCCCTTTCAAACTATTTCAATCTAAAATAAGAGTAGTTTTCTCTGAAAATCATCAAGAGAGTAGGCCTATTATCCCTGCATATTACTGTTCGGCAATTCCGTAAATTCGGACGTACATGACCGACACTTTAATGAGCTGTTGTTGGGAAAGTTAGTGTGATACAATGTTAATATTTTGACGCCCATTGAGAAGAAAACAATTACAGGCCAAAGTGAGGTTCACCGCCACCTTAGCGACCTTGTACGTGCACATCATGTGGTCGGACGTGCAAAGTATTCTACGGAATTGCCCCGTTTAAGAGCATTTTTTTCTGTCTCAGTGTTCATCCGCGTTGTGGCCATGGCCAGGGATTCACAATGGATGTAGAGAGTCATGTTGATTTCACGCGCCTTGGCAAATGCTCAAAATGCATCCAAGGAGATTACTTTGTGTTAATAACATGTACATGATAACTTCATGTGCATGCATCGGTCCATTTTGAGCCCATTAGAGTAAGCCGAATATAGCTTCTCATTTGACTTCACTTAAAATACAAAGGATATTCATTCAACTTCACTTCGGACCTCGGGACGAAGAATCAGTGTAATCCTTCGCTAGTCCAACCAGCTTAAATAAGTTGACAGATTTAAGAGAAAAAAATTAAGAACGAATTTGCATAGAGTAAAACCAAAAAAATGAGTACAAGGAAGCAGCAACCTGGAATGATTGTCTGGGTTATACAAACAAAATCTAGTGAGGTGGGGTTTCAAACTAACCTCTGAAACGCTGTGTTTAGCCAGTACAATTCCGCGTCAATATTTACACTTCTGCAACAAACATTACGTAATTTATACTTCTGCAACAAACATTACGAACTTCTCACAAGAAGTTTTGTCAGAGAGCTCACCGCCACCTGACCCATCAGACTTTGTAATTTACTTCGTAATTTATCTATTAAAGTTATACTGTACGTGTACCTGAAGCACTACTTTAAGTATTTTGTATTATGTTAATTTTGCACTTTTTTTTCTCGTTCTTGTATTTTGTGTGTCATGTTATTTATTACTCCTGTTCATGTGAGTAAGATGTGGCTATATGTGTCCAAAGTGGACGTCGCTAATTTTGTGATGTTTGTCCGTTAAAAAAAATCTAACTCGTGATGTCTTGGTTTTCTTTTGTTTTGATTGCAGTGGTGAATCTTATCACCGCTGCCTGGGCTGACATTAGGCTTGGAATCTGTGATCGAGACAAGTTCTTCCACATTCCTGATGAGTGTCCACAGGTAAAAAAAAAAAAAAAAAAACATGAAATATGTCTTGATCTGAATTTTAATGACAGAGTGAATCGCCATTTTCCCCCATACTGTTGCATGACAATTGTGCAGATGTACACTGCAAACAACTATGTTTGGTAGTTTTAACACTTTCTAAACACTTTCTTGCTATCAGTTTCCAAACATGTTTAAATACTAAACATATATTTAGTGTATTGACGGATATGTTTTGCCATTGAAAATTGGTGTTGAGGAATTAGTAATGTTTAGCTTCTAAACATGTTTACAAAGTGATAGCAAGATTGTTTTTATCAATCAAATTAGGTTTTGCTAATTTGATTTATATCACCCCGACGCAAACATTCCATCTTATAATAAGATTGTTTTTGTTGCTAAACACATTGTTTAGAGTGCAGACTACATGAAAACTATTTATCAAATGCAGCTCTAAATCCTCAAAATTCTTAATACATTCCCCCCCCCCCCCCACATGGCCTTGGGCGTTTAGTCTGAGTATCACCCGTTGAGTCCACGGGGGCAAGTCTCCTGTAGAACGTCTGATATGTCAAAGCATGCCGATTTATGTGATCCAGCGCCTCAGGCAATCGGAGTCGACTTTACTAAATAGTGACGTCATTTCATTCCCAAATCAGGACTAAAACCGTGATTGGTAAATTCGAATGCAGTGTTTTGTAATACAACAACAGCCGGGCGCTTGTCCACAGCCTCACTTCAAGATAACCATGGGATACTGGACTCACGCTGACAGTGATACTCATCAATTTTCCTCTTGTTGTCCCCCAACATTATGCCAAAGGCATAATTATTCATTTACATTTGTCCCAAAAGTCCCATAACGAATCATCAAAAAGCTTACTTGGATAACGATCGTATTCTGGTACTAAAAAGCCCGTGAAGTTATTCCATCTGGGCTCTTGTTATTTAGAAGAAATCAAGAAATGTAGGTGATTTACAACGATCAGTCAAAAAATTGACTGATTTTTGGAAATAAAGATTATGACAAAATCGTTTTTCGTGACTTAAAGGTTTTGCATGTTTTTTTTTCACTGTTTTCTTTAAAAGTGTCGCATCCAGCGAGTTGAAACTTCAGCAGGGTTGGTTTTGTACAATCTTCTTTGGATTTTGAGTGGTGTCATTGTTGGCAAAGAAAAAAATGCAATAAAAAGCAAATGATCCTATCTGCTTTCATAATTATCTCTAACCGCCCTGAAGCCTTCAAAATCCTCTTTGCCAAAGTGGAGGAATATGGAGGATTGAGGTCATATGGCAAAAGTGCGTTACTGATTTGGTAGGATGCACTTTGTCAAGGTCTTGGGCCGGACCTTGTGTTGTTTTTGCTCAGCCATGCATAAATACAGGCCGGTATTATGCTTGAAATCCTCCTTACTGCTCCAGGATGCCACTGGCCAAACCTCAACATATTGACAGTCACTGCTGCAGGATTTTGCAGGATTCAGGCAGTGGTCACCCCTCCACGGACCATATTCAAGAAATAATGGAGGAATTTGCAGGATTGAGGCTATATGCTATTTTTCCATGAGGCCAATTGGAGGATTTTGCAGGATCGAGGCTACATCCTGGCAAAAAGGCCTAGGGACTTGGGGTTCTCCTTTGCTCCCCCAATTTCGAAGGTTGTTTTGATCAGCTTGCCCCAACTTATTTTAATCTCTCCTTTATTTCCTTACACAGGACGTCATGACGCCATTCATGGAGAAGAAGTTGAAACATCGCCAGATGATGGAGATGTCCTTCCGCGTCGACACACTCATGTGATTTCGAAGCTCGGCGATGTGCAGTTGACTAGCCATAAACTTAAGTTCTTCGATTGATATAGCGGTTAGAATAAAGATTACAAAGTAACACATGGTCATGACAAAAGGCTAGAGATTAATACTTGGTCACTGTAAACTTCACCTAGAAAACTACTTGCGATTAAAACCGTCATTATAGTATGTTTCTCTAATAGTATTCGAGAATTTGTACGTCAACAGTGCGTAAGAAATTTAGTGGGTTTTTTTTTTTGTACATCTGTTTTCGTTTGGAGCAACAAATATTGCTAAACACAAATCTTATTAAGGGTGCAGAAGGTTTTAGCTCAGTGACTTCTCCACATTTTGAGGAAACAGACTAGCCTTTGCACATGATTATTTTGGTCCCTGTAACTGGATTCCTTTAATTATGCATGTGGAAAACGTGTGCCCAGGGGCAACCCCTTTTTGAACCCCCTTCAATGATATTGTTTTCTTCCGAACGATACCATTTCAGGTGGGATAATTTTGACAGGGGTATTTGGTACCTCTCCAATTTCAGTGAATTTTTTTCCTCTTAAGTCGGTGGATCCATTTCCTTGCATTCTGTACCTTTCTTTAATAGTCCAGGACACGCATTGCTTCGTCCCCGTTTCTAACATTTCTTAGTATGCATAGTTACCATGCGAGAGCCACTAAAATGTCGTACAGAAGCTTCTTTAAAGTCTTTTTCGGTAAATTCATCACGAACGATTGTACATGTCGCCATCAAGGAGTTACCATTTAGTTTGTTATCAAGGATTCTCACTTGTATTAACTGCACAGGGGTAACTGTAGAGGTTTTTTGTCCTTCAAGCATAAATTTAAAAAAATGCATTTCCATGCAAAAAAAAAATTCACACTTTTCTTGCGTGCGAGAGATTTATTAGCTTCAAACAGGTTAACAATAGACGTAAGTTGTTATACAAGATCCAGGGACCGTTTTTTGTAAATTAAACTGAATGGGTACTGTTTGGCAAACCGCCAGACTGTCTGGAAAGCTGAATGAACGAACACAACGCCAAACAAAAACCAGTCGGGTTGAAAAAAAATCTGATTGAATAGCTTGCTGGGAGGCGGTCAAATCTTGGTATTTGTAAAAGGTGAAAGCAAGGCCACTGCTTATGGGCCATAACTCAGCAGTATATGGCTTTCATAACTTTACAAGTGAACCAAACCATCTAAAGGATAAACACATTCCATAGGAATGGTTGAATAGATCGCCCAACAAAAGTAAGCTGGGTTGGGAGAATTTGTTATTTAAACAGAATTGGAGCGTTTGAATTCCATTGCTCGGTTTTTGTGAACGGTGAAATCAGGGTCAATGCTTATAGGGCCAGAAAAAAAGTCTTCGGTTTCTGGTCTGTGCTCGCGTTGCCGAATCCAAGCGCGTCGTCAAAATTAGAAAGTTTTTTTTTTCAATGTAAGATGATGTCTCAAAATCCCCACACTCGCTGGTTTAATTGGCATCCTGCTGCTGCATGATTTTAACGTGTTTTTTAGATAGGGTTACGATCGAGTATAAGCTTTGTGTGGCCTCTCTAGGCTCCCATATATTTTGCACTAAATTCGGGCAGCATTTGCAGGGGGTGATGTAATGTTGTAATTTTGCATCCGTAAGCCAGAAAGAGGGAGCGATGGTCGTGTATCTGAACCTGTTAACGCTTTTTAATTAGCGCAATATGTAAGGGAGCAGACTAATGACCAGCCTGGCAGCACATGCACGATGTCGATGGCGCTGTATGGTCTGATGTTACCGTTTTCTTTGATTATTGTCTTTACTATCCAAATTTCCCAAAGAATGTTCGTGTCGGTCGAGATCGTAGGTGGGTGCAGAATTCTCGAGCGTTGTGGCCTTACTGAGGTCACCTAGTACCTCAAGCTACGCTCTGATTTTTTGGAGAGTTTTAAGGGGATCGAAGCGTCATCTGCAACATCAGCCGTCATTTAAAGAAAAAAACAAGTTGGGGGGGGGAACCCGCGTCGCCGCACCACTTTTGGAGCAAGCTCCACACCAGAAACCGGATACCTTGTTTGGTCTTTGTACAGAGAAAATAACCGGTCTACATTTCAGCACGCCGCCCTGAAAAAAATTCTGGATCCGCCCTGCTAGCCCCCAAAATATTGGCTCTAGAACTGCGCCTGTAGGAGTGTGAATAGAACACCCAAGAAAAGGCTTGGGAGAATTTTCTATAGAATCGCTCACACACTGCTCAGGCAGTCCAACCTAATCGTTTATAAACGGTGAAAGCAAGGCCGCTGCTACTGGTTTTTTTTTTTACTTTACTAGTGGACCAAAACGTCTGAATAAGTACGAAATCTTTTTTTAGCCTGGTGGATAATGCTTAAAATTCAAGATCTTAACAATTACATTGACAACAAAAATGCCGACCAAGCAAAATTACAGCTTTTCCCGTTCCATTCTTTTTCTGGATTTAAACCTTCAACCACCCCGTTAGGCCTACGTGGTCTAAAGTATGAGAGACTGATAACCTCGAGTGGGGCCCATACATGTATCTGGTCCAAAAAAGTGCTGCAACAAAATCACCAGAAATGAGATTCCATCCAGTGTTTATGGGCATAAAAGAACATAAAAACAGAAGGGGTTTTATCTTTTCACTGACTGTTTTGTACAAAATAACCCTTTCAAACTTACTGTCGACACTGACAGATGATTAATATGTTGAATGGCATCATAACAAGAATGCATATGAAGCGGTAATTCTAATCTAATTTCTTTTTTACTTGGGAACGCTGAGTATGTGTATGGAAAAAAATGGAACTCATCACTAATACTTCCCACGTGATGTTTTACATTTTTAAGTGTACTTGCTAAAGGCGTTTGCTGTTAAAACTGCATAGTTAAACTAAAGACAAGTAAAACCCACTTTTTCACAATTCTAGATCATGACTTCAAAATATAACGTGTAAATATTACATATGTTAATTTGTTAGTGCGGCATGACTGCAGAAAGTAAGTATTATTTTATCCTTCCCCAAAATTATCACAGTTCAAAAGTCAGTGTTCTACTAGTCTCATGTGGATTTGAGCGGCGTGTCTGTGGGCGCGCGTTTGTAAACTTCGCAAGTTTGCAAAATTCGCTTCGAGATTTCAAACCATGTGTTTGGGTACTCTCAAAGAATACCATTAAGTCCAAAACAGTCTGAGTACTTTTCTAACACACTCTTAAGATTATATAAATCGAAGGTTATAAGAAGCTATTTTAGAAGCATGGTGTCGTGTCAGGTGAGGTCTAGCCAGCAAAGCTACTCGCGAAATTTGCGCCACTTCAGCATCGTAGCAGTCGGTTGCTTCAAGGCACGCCCCTGATGGTAAGCAAAAAAAATGGAAGTAGAATATCTGGTGTTAGTTGAGTCAACTTTTGTCGACATGTCGGGCCATAAATTCATTAATTCCTATACAATACATACACTCAACCAAAAAAAGAAAGTCTCCCCTTGATACTTTTTTGTCTAACTCAAAAACTACTGGGCACATCTTGCAAAAATTACGACTGATCAGAACAGAAATTCATTAGCAATCCAGCAATACTCTTGTTGGCCCAAAACAGTGATTATGTGTACAAAGTAATGCAATTTATGACAAAATTAATGGTACCGAAAAAAGTTGCACTTTGTGTACGTGCAAGGTGAGTGTGAACCACATGCACAACTTGGACGCTCTTTTCGGACCCAGTATTCAGGCCCAATTCAAAACACGATTCAGGAACTTTTGATTTGAAATCGAAATCCTAGAATGCTGTTTTTTCGCGGAATATTCAGATGAAGGTGAGCTGAAACTTCATCAGGTTAGTTGTTCAGTACCCTTCTTTAGATTTTGAGGACTTTTGTTGCTTCAAAACGAACAAAATGCACACATTACAAATGATGGACTATGTCTTTAATGCCAAAGGTGAATGGGAATGACTAATTACCGGTTCGCAAACGTCGGGGACTTTGAAGTACTTTTCCCAATCGCAGATTCCCAGCTCGATGTTGAACATTCTAGAGTCCCTCACTTCAACTTCGGCTCCTGTATCAAATGTATTGTAACTCAAATCAACAGTCAAACCTCCTTTCTTCTCGTAGTTTCTTTACAACATTTAAAGGTTTTAATGCGTTTCAGTGGCCATTTGGGTTTGCATGCAAACTGATATTTCGAAGTTGCTTACTAGCCCTTTATCATGCTGCCACCATTTACGTCATGTTCCCTGTAATCACAATACTGTATGATAATGTTTCTTGTGCAAAAAAGGAACCAGACTATTTTTCTTCCAGCCTCGCTTTGGTTTCGTTGATTTGAATGGGACAAATCCAAATGGCGGCAACATGATAATGGTATTTTGCTGTTACTGCCAACTGCCACTCCATTCAAATGTATCACGCCCACTAGACAATTTTGTTTGGACAGCAACAATTCGCTTAGCACAAATCATGTCATTTATGATATTGGATCGGTCTCACCCGATGCGATTTAATATGCTAAGCTGTATTTTCTACCAAACAGTTATGAGATTTCGAGGTCACACATCAGAGGAGGGATGGTAAAGGATGACTGTCCATCCTAATGTTTTCTCCTACCGAAGGAAACAATAATTTGATCAAACTGACATCTCTTATACACTCAACCAGAAAAGAAAGTCCCCCCTTCCAATATTTTTTTTTGTCTAACTCAAAATCTACTGAGCACCCCTCGCTCAAATAACGACCAATCAGTACAGACATTCCTTAGCAATCCAGCCATACCCTTCATTTGGCCCAAAACAGTGATAATGTGTACGAATTCATGCAGTTTATGATGAATGATACCGGAAACAGTTGCGCATTTGTATACGTGCAAGTTGTGGTTCACACTCACCTTGCATGTTATACAAAAGTGCAAGTTTTTTTCGGTACCATTTGTCATAAATTGCATTTTGTACACATTATCACTGTTTTGGGCCAAACAAAGAGTATGGCTGGATTGCTAAGGAATTTCTGTACTGATCAGTCGTAATTTAAGCAAGATGTGCCCAGTAGTTTTTGAGTTAGACAAAAAAAGTATTAAGGGGGGAGTGGGGACTTTCTAGTTGGGTTGAGTGTATTTTCAAAGAGTGAAGCTAGGGACCAGACGAGTCACTCGAGTGGAAACTCTCAAATGAAAAATGTATCTATTCAATAAAACGAATTTCTCTCCAAATCTTCTTGTCCTGGTTATTCGGATATCTAATTTTTACTAGAATAGAGCGAATACACTCTTTCAATTTAAGGAATCATCTGACCTGTCTCGAGGTCGTATTTGCGGTACAGCAGCCCGACTGGTACACACTCCTCCTTCGTGTAGGTTCGCACGGTATGCTTGGTACCCTGTTCGCTCAGGGAGTACCAATTGTTGACGACCAGATCACGATCTCCCAACGTTGATTCACCAATAAACTTGGCATCCTCTGTGTTGCAATATAAACTAAAGACAACTTGGAAGAGATTGTGATAATGAGATTTAAGTAAAGGGGGACGGACCTGTGTTCACAGTAACGGAGTGCTCATCTGTCTTTCGAAGCAATTGGGCCAGACTCGAGTCCATCGCCAAACCTCCTCCACAGCGAGTCTGTAACCTTCCCAGCATTTAACAACTGGGTTGAAAGGAGTTATTGAGGTAAAACGCCTCACTCAAGGCCACACATGCATGGCCACGGCGGGACTCGAACCCACAATCTCACGATCTTGAATTGTGTTTCCTATATACCGCTAGACCACATGTGCCCATATATGACATTAACATGGCCAAAACAATCCACTCAGCGGGGTCTACCCGATGTTCCCCAATACTTATGTTCCTCAAAATTTTAGGGTTAGGGTTAGGGTCAGGGTTGGAGAACAT